GGTTATTCCAGGCAGCCAGTACTCTAACTTATACTTTTTAATATTCTCTTTGTTGTAACTTTTTCTGAGCAAGAGTGAGTACAAAAATAAAGATTGTTGTTGTTGTTGTTGTGTCATTTTATCTTTACACTTCTTCAGAACCACAACAAACAGTTTGAATATTTTTATTTTATCTATCATCGGTTATGTAACATTCCTTATCACATTCATAATCAAAGGATCTCTTTTCTTCTTCCACCAATATCCTTCTTTCAGTTACATAACGTTCAATTTCAAATCACACTTTCTGGTCAGTAAATGCCGACGCAGGTCCCAAATTTGTGGGCGACTAACGCGGACAATACCCGGAAACGACCTCACACAAAAGGCGACTTCTTGAAAGGATTGATCCATATCTGGCTCCGATTTCTGTTATAAGTATGGTTTCCGAATGTCCGTCGTGGTAAGTTGTAGCATACAGATGCTTGAATATGTTTTGAGCTCTTTTTGGATTTCCCTTGTATAATGCCGTAGTCAGTCTTGATGCTGGTCATCATCATAAGTGGATTCCACTTCTCTGCTGCTAGATGAATGGAGTCATGGTTAAACCATTCAGTCCACCAAAGTTGTAGGGGAACCATAATATCCATCACTCCGATATTCCTACCTACTCCCTTGGGCATGGTCTGGGTTAGGGTTTTACTGACTGAGGCAGTGTATTCTTCACTTCCTTGCCTAGAATATTGAAGACTTTTACCAACGAATTGCCTTCCTTCTTGATATTTCAAGACTTTCCTGAATGGGGCGGTACGAGACCATTCAATTGAGTGGAGTGTCCACTTTCTGCCAGCCATTCCTGCAGAAAAGGAAATTGTTGAACTGAAATCAATTTTGAAAATTCTCACAAATTCCAATGATAACGGAGTTACCTGATCCACTCCGAAAACTTTACTACGCATGAAAAAAGATATTGACACAGCTAACACTAAACAGATGAGGTGTGCGTGAAAATGTAAAAGTAAGGTTCAGTAAGCTGGTCAAAACCGATCCCAGTTTCCAGCATGAGGACACTGGCAGAATTACTACTCCCATCTCCCCTAAGATAGCTGCCAGTCTATCTCAAGTTTACTTCTACAGTGGTGAAGTAACCGTTACCTGGAATCTATCTTGTACATCTTTTTGCAGCTGTCGCCTCTGCGCTTTGGTGAGTGATGATGTTTTTACTAATTGATACCAGTTACCAATTGCTCTGCAAAACAAAAAGGCAAGAACGAAATAGTTAAAAATCACTTTCTGTTAAAATACCATTAGCCAACTAAGTGACGACAATTAGATGATAATCATAACGAAAACGGATACGTACAACAATAAGAAAAAAAACTATATAGAAAAATAAATTATAATTACGAGGTTAAAAGAAGGTAACTTCACGGCCCTTGGTTTAGGCGGATGAACCTAGTAGGGGACTACGTGTCCTATTGTTCTCTCGCCTGTACACTGTACGAATCTAAAAATACAAATACTAATACAATGCGCAAGCGCGGGAAAACGAGTAAGGACAGACAAGAGGGGCAATAGTCACCAGTCCCTACTAACACAAAATGCACGGATAAACCGACAACAACATTCAAACAAATGAGCAAAGGTCCAGTGACAAGTGTGAGGAAAAAAGTAGCCAGTGACAAATGCTGTGCGGACAAGTGACAAGCGGTGCGTGGACAAATGACAACAAGACATTATACTAAAGACATGATGACCATGACAAGGATGATAAAAATGTATACAAAAATAAACAAAGAAGAAGTGACTTGGAATAACATTTGACGATAAAAACTTGCGACAAAACGTTGCTTGATAACATTGTAAAATTTAAAAACGATGAAAAGCTATAGAAAGCTAAAATAGATGACGTTTCGATGTTAAGGTGGCTTGTACTAGTTTCCTCACGTGGGAAACAGGTTACTCTTGCGTGACGCGCGCGAGAGAAACGTGCGAAAGAAGCGCGAGATCAAAAGATGAAAATTCAAAACAAAGATGGCGGCGCGTGGAATTTTTTCTACTTTTGTGAGAAGTTTACCTAAGAGCTTGTATTTGATGTGTTGAGCGGCCACTTTGAATGCAGGAGATAGAAACTAAGATAACGAAGACGATTTTCGGAGAAGTAAAGGTTGCTTCACTTCACATTTAAAAGAAATATTCAACCGATATGAAATCTTGCGACGGCGAAAAAAGAAGAACTCAAGTGAAGGATAATCTACCTGAAGTGGAAGAAGACTTTGAAACTTCAAGGAAAATAATATGATATAGCCAGAAGTCATGTGTAGGATTTTTAAGATGAGCTCGGGAGGCTGTCTTTGACGGCTGTTTAATGATTTTCTTAGCAGTAAACGTCTGTAAACATCAGATCGTAGGTGCTCGCGCGAGCACACGCAATTGTCAGCGGTAGCTAAAACAGATCATGAGCAAATGTCGATCTTATAGAATCCAGATTTTTAAATGCGCGAGAACGCGCGTGGAAATTGCTAAACTCACGAAAGCTATTGCATGAAAACAAGTCCGGTGACCCCTTCTTTTTATTGTTCCAATATGATAATAACGTCGAAAGGAATCATCAGAAAAAAAACTAGAAAATTCTACGGAAGGAAATTTGCAATGTGTGAAAATTGCCCTTTAGTAGATTTTCTGAAATTCCGCTCCGTATAATTTTTTAAAAATCTTTGTGTATTTTCCTTTTCAAGTGCCAAAAGCAATCACTGAAAAAAATCAGGGGGTCACCGGGTTAGTTTTCGAATTATTTAAGCCACAAGCTAAAAAATGCATCTGAATAAGCCTATGAAAGCGTTGCCATGGAAATTGCTAGTGACGAAATGACACTTTTGGATAACCAATGATTATGTAATTCAACCCTGTAAAAGTGTTCAACTGGCCTTAGTCAGTCTTTCTGTTGTATTCTTTCAAAGTTACAAACCATCAAAAAGATGAAAACCGGTACGAGCCACCTTAACATAACGTCATTATCAAGTCAAGGATGTATAAAAATAAGTTCTACAAATACTAAAAACGAACAATAAGAGAAAATAGTTTGCGGGTTAAACACAAAGTTTAGCACGTATGGAGTCCGTTTGCACGTTCAGATTAGGTTTGAATTTCTTAATATAAACTAAAGCATTTCAAACAATAAACAATCAAATTTGCTTCGACACTTTCTCAGAATCTTAAAATGACTATCATTCGCAATGCGTTGTTTATCATTTTGTATGTGATCTGTGCGATGCAGATTATGTTGGCTATATGGCCCGACACCTTTTTCAGTGTGTCACTGAACACAAAAATTCGGCAATTGGCAAGAATTTTCATGAAGCGCACGGTAGGAGGGATCGTTTGAATGATAGTCATTTTAAGATTCTGAGAAAGTGTCAAAGCAAATTTGATTGTTTAGTGTTTGAAATGCTTTATATTAAGAAATTCAAACCTAATTCTGAACGTGCAAATGTACTCCATACGTGCTAAACTTTTTGTTTAACCCGCAAATTATTTTCTCTTATTGTTCGTTTTTAGTATTTATAGAACTTATTTTTATACATCCTTGACTTGATAATGACGTTATGTTAACATCGAGACGTCGTCGATTTTAGCTGTCTATAGCATTTTATCGTTTTTAAATTTTACAATGTTATCAAGCAACGTTTTGTCGCAAGTTTTTATGGTCAAAAATATACAAAGCCAAAAGAAAACAAGCTACAAGCGCAAAATAGACAAGCACTAAAAGCATATCGCTTATAATTTGGAACTTCTCTACTTACTTTTCTCTGTCTTTCAAAGCTTTCTCGAACTTTTTCGGAAGAGGAATCGGTGGTCCCTGAAATCAAACCACAAAGTTCAATTATGCATGTGATCAAACATGTAATCCAATCGCATCATTAACAAAAGCAGTACAAATCACCAGAAACAAAGCCTGGAAAGGTATAAGGAGATCCTCAGAAATTTCAGTTTTAAAGGTCTTACATAAACTTCTTTTGAGTTTTGATTGGTGATTTATAACATTTCAGTCCTTTATCCCTTACTGCCAGGCCAGGAAACGGAGGTAGGAAGAAGGAAAGTTAAAAGTATGGGAGTACTCTAAAAGCATTGAATCTGACTCTGATCTTCTTCACACTTTCAAGCTAAAGTCTGGGTTTATCAAATTTTGTACGACTCCCGAATGAAAGATGCGCTTTTTCAGATGCTGGTATAAATTTCCTTAGTATTTTCGTGATTTTAATTTTTAACATTTATTTTATAAGACGGTATTTATTCGAGTGAATGGCACAAAACAAAAGGAAACCCAATAGGTATACTGCTACATTAAGAGAAATCTTCAAATGATTACCAAAACAGTTCAGTTTGACAATGGCAACGGGGGATACTTTCTCTTTCTTCGAATTTGCTCGGTGTACATTGGTGTTGGTGCTGTTCTAAACTAAAAACATTCTGTGAGGCTTACATCTGTAGATCCTTTCATAGAGAACGGAATTGTGAACGTGAAAAAGTCTGCGGGTGATAGTTCACGATACACAGCTGATGTGCCCTCACCTCGATCAGATGCTGAAAAACCAAACAAATGTAACAAAACTATGGAAACCAGAAATAAAGTAGTAGGTCGGCTATAAGATAAATCAAAGTTTTCAATAACCGGGTACATTATATGACAACTTTTCACCGTAACCATACACCCAACATGTTCTTACCAAGTACAAGAGGATCATTCCACAAATTTGGCTCAATGGGAATCCCCCAAGGGCCACATAAGTGTTCCTCCAGGGTGGGGTAATAAGTGTGATATGGCGCCAAAACTAGCTTTTCATTTCCTGGAAGAATAACAGGTTTGGTCGGCGTGCAAAGATGAAAAGAACAGTCACTGCAACCACTAAGACGAAACAATAACAATAACAAAGTTAATTCAAGGTTTTGTACCCCTTCAAAGTATCCAAGTTTTCATTTTTTGTTTAATGAACATAAGCAGAGAAGAATGGCTCAAAAATGTGAAAAGAACCGCAAAGAAACAGGCATCCCACCTGTGGAGCAGAGGCAGTAATTCAACTTCTTAAATATTTGAAGACACATATATTAAAAAGACGCATGCTCACAGAAATGTCGTATACAAACCCCATAAAAACTAAGTAAACAGTGGTAACAATTTTTCCTTTGTGCAAGGGGGGGGGGGGATTTTATGAAGCATATGCAAACATATCTACATGTCTGGCTGGTCTATCAAGTTGATTAATGATGACCATTTTGGTTCTTGGTCACCTTCAACAAACCTGAATGAGATTCTTTCACAGACGACATAGAATGTACAATTGCAGCAACCAATGATATTAACAGCTGTGTTTGCCACCCCCAGAACAATTGTGGAGTTGTGACAGTTTTCTACAGTAACAGCCCTGAATAAGATAAGTAGTAACAGTTACATCATGTATTCTGACACACCTTACATGCTTGATTCTTAAAACAAACAAACAAAGCAACAAAACAATAATTCACCAAAACAATGATTATGCCCCCATTTTGCAGAAGGATGCACTCTGTTATTAACTGTAGAGAATAAAGGTTAAATGGCATCCTAGGGAGAGCAATTTACTGCACTCTTCTTTAACATGCAGACTCTGAGGTTAAAGTTCTGAGGCAAGCTTGCACTTTGGTTTCATGCTGTCCTTGATCATTACAGCAACATATATCTAAAGACAGAGACAATTGACTGAATTGTAAAACACTTTTCAAAGATTTATCTCCAACTCCACATTGTGCATGATATTGAAAACCACAGTAAGGCATTGCACAGGCAAATAGGCTAATTGCTTTATTTTGGAAAAGGAAACTTGAGGTGACAAAGTGCTTGACACCTTTAGAGTAAATTGGCCTTTGGAGGGTAAATTTATGAATTTTTATGAAAATTATTATGAATGGTTAATATTGCAATTAGTACTTAATTACTAACATGAAATTAATTTTGGAGACAATTAACAAGAACTAGGGCCCATAATGTATTTTAGGTAGATATCCACCAGAAAACTAAAAGACTTAAATCAATTTTTATTAAGCACGAAATAAAAATCACATGATGGAGTTTTAACTGCGTAAAAGTCAGTATCCAAGCTGATACTTTAAGCTTTGTAGCAAGAAAAAATGTTCATCTTACATAGTAGATGAAAGTTTTAATTCAAAACAACCAATTCTATTGAGGAAATTTGTTAGAGATTGTTAAAGTGCTACTGCGATGAAATTTTTGCATTCTATTTTCCCAATTTTCTGGTGTTAACTTCACATTTAGACCCTAAACTATAAGTCAGAATAAGCATAAGTTTCTCAAATTTGACAACGTTATTCCTTAAAAACAGTGCCGCAAAGACATTAAAAATTCTTCCACCATTGTTCAAATAACACACTGGAGAGCCCGCGAAAATAACTACAGCAGTTTTAGTTGTGACGTCATCGACTCACTTCGACAACGTCGCAAAGGCATGCCTTTACAAGAAATACACAAAAGAAAGCTGGGAAACAATTCTTTCGAATTCTATTCCTTCTTTCCTGCAGAATCAGAAAAACAACTCTCTCTCGGCATACCAAATTAGCCACGTTTGTTGAGTCATTAACGTCACTTCCATTCTCGACCTAGTTTCTTCTTCTTCGCGCGGAGTTCGAAGAATGGCGGCTGTTTAGATCACTAATCTACAGGGAAAATAATATTACTTCTCGATGGAGTTTTGCCTTAAGATTTGGCAAATTTGTTACTTAGGGTAAGTACTTTCAACCTCTGAGGAGAAAAGAAAAGGTGCATTTTTGGTCGCAGTAGCACTCTACCAATCACAGACATTTGAATACATTTGGTAAGGTCAAGTCAAGTATAGAGCCAATCATACAAATAACTGCAGTTTATCAAAATCAACTTTACACCTGAATAACCAAAATCAAGTACAGTTGCTAAGCAAAGGATACATAACTTTTTTGCAATTGCCACTTTAAAATTGAGGGAAGAATAGAAGAGGGGGGGAGACTTGTCTAGCACTGTAGCTGGTGGTAATTGCATTCACAAACCTCAGGGGGCATAGGATGTATATGTAGGAATAATGGCATCTGTGAATTTTCACTGTACTTCCTGAATATGAGTCATTGGCCTGATTAAAAAAAAAAACAAACAATAAAGCTGTTTTCACAACACAACAACCTAATTTCATCATTCTAAAATCCTGTATTAAACAGACTCTAGTTTGCAGAGTTCATTCCTCAAAGCCTGAGAATATTGTCTGCTGTTTCAGACTAAATTAAAAATATCAAAAATTGGGTATTTAAATTATCTCGCTGTCAATTTTAAATGTTAAGTCAGTCAAAGAGATAATGCTGTTTCAAGAAAACATACCTTTGCAACAGTTTGTTTGCAAACTTGAGAAAGGATAAGAAATCTTTGCCTATCAAATGAAATATGAAGTAAAGGAAGCAAAAGTGGTCACAAATAAATATTTCTGGTTTCGTGATACATTTCTCACAATAACGATAAATCAGGTTTCTATATTTTAAGTGGTAAAACCAATCAGTCAGTGTTTCAAACAAAATTTTTTTAAAGTCACTTGATAATCATAGTGACAAATTGCCACATGACCACTAAACACAAGTTGCCAATTTGGTGACCTGCACTGCACATTATGACCACAAAAATTTTTTTCCAGTTGCCATCTAGAACAAAATAGTTGTAGTCTGGAGAGTTGCAATTGCAAAGCAGACTTACCCCTGTGAAATGTTCACTTTAAAATTTTACCACAAACATCCCACACAAACACCCCACTACAGATCTCATGAGCTCATTATCACAATTCTTAACTTAGACACTTGACATCCCATAAAAATCTTAATATAACAAAAACAAACCTATTAAACAATTTACATGTAAACCTCAATATCCTTTCTTTACCTTAAGTATACACAACTCTCAAACAATAAACAGCACACACAAACATTTGACACAAAAAATAAATCTAAGAAACCATCTGCAGAAGTCATGTAATCTAGTAAAACCAGATGCTGAATATTTCATGCTGCATTAATTCTTTGGAATGGTTGTTGATTGCACCAAATGTAACTTGGGCTTTGGGCTTTATTGAAACCTGATGCACTATCAAACCACATGATATTCTTATCAGACAACAAATGAACTTTACTACTGAATGTTCCATACTACAGTGCCACAAAATTGTATTTTACATACTCGGGTGGAGCATAGCCTATATTGCTCATGATGCGACTCCTATTTATGGACATTTCTTTGCCAGCAGTGCTGTGTTCTGATTCCTGATGCCGTAGAAGACTGTGATCATCAAAGGTGTCACTAAGGCTTAGAAAATCTACAACAACAGGAAACTGATCAAATACATGTGGTTCATACTTAAGATGAGTTTTAGAAGATCCATGAAAATTTGAAGGGGGAGGAGAGCAGAGAAGGTGAATTGTTGGTGGGGGGAGGGGTAACAAATGCATTAAACTATTCTGCAAAGAGCACAGAATGCATGCTGCATATATAGCTTGAGGAACAATGATGATCTTGTTATTATATAATTCTTTTTTTTCAAAACAAAGCAGAAATTTCTGAACACAGTAGTAAATCTCATCCCTCACTTCTGGCATGCAAAATGATCAATGAGGCCTTTCCGAGTTTCACAAGTCCTTCCTCCATAAAAATGTGATTCTGAGGACAGAGGCTTAAGGCATTCAGAAAGTGAGTGGTCCTGATAGAACAAACAACAAAAATTGATGATCACCTGCTACCACATCAAACACTGACTTTGTGATATTTGTTTCTTACTTTGTACTTGTAATTCATGTTGTTTAAATCCCTGAGCAAGGATGGCAGACACTCCAAATGGATTTACTTGAAGACTGGACCTCAACCAAGATTGAAGTTGGCGGAAAGAGAATTTTCTGGAGATCTGTAAGTATTTGGACCCAAATTAGTTGCCAAATCCTTAAATTTCACAACCATTAACAGAATAACTTCAGTCTACAAATAATTTTTATTTCAATTCTAGTGACAAGTATTACCTTTGAATAACCACATTTGGGTCTTTCTGGCTGAAGTCGAGCTAATTCATGTAGTGGCTGAATATTTCTAAACAAAAATTTGATGTGACAAATAAATAAAACCCAAACATTAAGTACATTGACATGTCAACCAAGTTTTGGAGCCAGGGTCCCTTCCCTTGAAAATCCCAATGACTCTTCCCACCCAAAAGGCTGATTTTGTGTACCAGCTTTTCATTCGCACTATAGACATGGACCTAATGTCAGGAAAGAAACCAAATGGGACTGGTTTTTGACTCACACCATTATTCCCCAGATCTAGACTCAAAATAAGGGCTCTGGGCCTGTAACAAGACAGGGTTTGCTGGGAAAGGGCCCCAGGTGTTTTGCACAGAAATGTTGACCCTAGGTGATTAGGGACAGGACATGTTTTCCTAAATAAGGCCTACTACTACTTAACAGTTCTACTTATAGTTAGTTCCTATCCAGGAGAGGGAAATCAGAAGTAAAGCAGAAAACTGAATTAGACACTATCTGAGAACAACACTGGTCTATAGGTTAGCATATAAGACTTCATATTGAGTTATTGTGTTTCATATTGAGTTTCTGTGTTTTCATAAACAAAATAAGAAAACTGTATCTAGACGAGATTGTAATTAATAACAGCAATTGCTGTAATCTTTGTAGTCAATAGGAATAAAGGTCTTACTTACTTACTTGGTTAAAACCAATAAGCTTGTTTCAGGTAATCAGTGTGTCACAAATAAATACGAGAATCGATGAAATCTATAAATTATGGTAGTATACACACTTCCTATCAATGGATCCTGTGATGAGAAACCCAAGAGCATCAAGAGCTTCAACAGTAAGACAGGCTTCATTACCACTGCCAATTCCACTGGACTCTGAAAGTAATGACATCATGCAAACTTACATGTATTACCTCGAGTGAGTAATTTTGCGTGAGTGTATGTCAGAATACATTCCCTAAACCCTTTGACCACCAAGAGTGACTAACATCTAGTTTCTCCCAACAATATCACGTCTTAATCATGCATTAAGGTCACAAGAATAAAGGAAATGATCCTCGCCTGAAGAAGCTCTTGACTGTTAAAAAAATTATTTTTGTCAGCATCTTAGGCAATGTACAGAGAACAGTGTGAAGAATATGCATACTGATGTAAGGGTGTAGAGGGTTTAAGTAGTTTCATACCTGGTTCCATTAAAAGTTCCAAAATGTCATTCAAATGATGTAGCACAAACATCATGTGATCATGCTCATCAAGGCTCTGAAAAGTTGAAAATCCGGAGGACAGAACAATATCATTAAACTAATGATTTATGTTTCAATTACTTAATTCAACTTTAGGGCAACAATTTATTGTAATGATTGTAGTTTGAGTTTTACTCTGAGATGAAAAATGTTGAACATATTGTAACTTGATTCTCAGTTTCCTTTGTGTCCTAACACTAATTATTCATAATCAGGGTTACAATCGAAGAAAAATCTTTACCAGAAATAAAAAATCAATCACATCTTAAAGAAAACTCATGATAATTTTCATCATTATCATTTATACCTCTACTCACTAATTTGTATTGTTATGATTTTTATCAATATCATTACTATTATTATTCATGTGGCTAAATGTAATTTAGGCAAAGTTAAGTTTCAAGCCAATCCAGTCAGCGGTCTTCTCCCCAAGCGTACGTGATCTGTAGGGCAACCACAGGGGCCTTTGCTTATCTTGCGACTTACCGGGCATCTCATGCTGGCATTTCGAGATGATCTTTGCAGATCTATTGCTTATAGTGAATCTTTGCGGATTCTGGCTCCCAGCCCGTCCCCCCCTTTCTGTGCATTGGTAAGTATGAGGTAAGGTGAGTATTTTCCACTGAATTCTTTCAGTGTGACAGTGCCAGTTGGCAGCTGCATGCAAGGGTGGTTCCCGCTTGTGGGGTTGCCATGGGTACCTCTATGCTATGCCTGAAGCATTCAGGCTCCCGTCCGACCTTTAAGGCACCAGTTCCCAAGCTCATCTATTGGCAATGAGTTTAATGTCATCTTACCTTAACTGCAATGGATCCTTTATTTTCCAAATCTGGTGATCGTGAACGTGTTGGCCATCTTTTTAATATTAAGGACAAGCTTACGGTGTAAGTACTGCATTCACAACCAAAGAAATGTCACTCAGATTAACACTTTTATCTGTAAAGCTTGTTATTCAGACAAGTTTATATTTCAAAGGCTTGATTGCTTGATAAATATCATCCAACACAACTGCGACAAAATCTAATGTTCAAAACTTCACATAATTAAAGTAAGAACTACATTTTAATCAAATTAATTGAAAATGAAAAGATTGTTAACAAATTAAGTATAAAGGATACTCTTCTCCTCCCAGGACCAGAGAAGCCTTAAAAGATATCTTGTGAATTTGTTGAATGTAAAGAAATAGAATGAACTGCAATGTTCTCACAGAGCCTTGAGATCTCAGATGATCTACAAAAGGCAAAGTCCTCAATCAGATCTTGGGATTTAAAAGTTTAATATGACTTTAATCCGCATTTAGCAAAGTATCACAGTCCAAGTTTTCTGACCTACTTCCTCCACACTTTTGCATTGAGCAAATATTTCATTCCATCTTGAATGTTCTTTAAAACTTGAGCCACTTAGCATGTCAAAGGTTTCAAAGTACCTAGAGAAAAGCATACTCTGTATTTTCATTTATAAACATATTCACATGTACTCACTACAGCACAAAACATAAAATTACTTATTGACAAGATTGCAACACTTTGACAAGTCTGGATATATAATGCACTTCCAGTAGATGAGGGAAAAAAATTTTAAAAGCATACGAATCTTCAATCTTTAAAATGTTTTTACATGCATACTGTTCAAAACATGGAACTGGATTAATAATTTTTGCCAGTCTATGACGACTCCTGCTAGATATGCTAACCATGTCTATTTGCAATTACTTGGTTCATTATTTTTCTGAGCTGCTTCTCTTTATTGAATTTTTGTTATTCCCTTTTTGAGAAACTTATGCACATTATCTTTTTCATTTACTAGACATGCATTTAATTTTAATGAACATAATATCAACTCACAGCCAAGCCAGATCTTCAGACATTTGTAACTTGTTGCAGGCCACATGCTTCCACAGTGGGTAGCTAAATGACAAAAAAGACACTTTTGTAAGAAAAAATTAACCTTTAGGGGAAAATTACGATTGAAAAATATTATATGTTGTTTAATCAATGGCACCCATAAAGTCAATGAATTGGTCATAAAAATAATACTAAAAAATATGTTCTTGCTACTTGAATGTCAACACACATCTACCTTTCACAAAAATTTTCAGTTGCCCAATCGGGCAACTAGGACTTAGTTGCCCCAATGAACTTAGTTGCCCCAATGAAATTTTTAGTTGCCCCTGGCAGGCGGGCAGCCGTTAATGTCGAGCCCTGTATAATCCACATTAAGCAAAGTAACACAGTCCATGAAGGGCTAACACTCAAAACATCAGCTTTTGTAATCGTTAAGGTGGCCAATTTACCACTTCAACTTTGTTGATATATCCAAGTTATTATATACACATCTACCTTAGCTGAGGATATCCTGCTTCTCCTTTGTTTCTTGCATAAATGGACAACTTGTACAAGTTCTAGAAAGGTAAAATAACAATAAAATTATGAAATTTTTTGGATTGCCTTACCAAATCTCAGTATTGAGTTATTGATAACATTTATGAGATCAGCTGTTAGCTGAACAGAGAAACATGACTATGTTCTATCAAGTTCTTGAACTGCTACAAAAAAATGATAGCCTCTCTATTTTCCTAACTCTTATTGTTGTGTAACAGCATTTTTGAAATCATGAAACCCTAAAATTAGGCCAATAGTAAAAATAAAAATTGGAAGTCTAGGACTGCATGTGCTACAGATATGGCAATACTGGAGAGCCATTGCATGACTTTGGAGAACATGTAATAAAGGCAGGTGTTCTTGGCTTTGTGAACTGGTTACTTTCTTACCCTCAAAACAGTAACAAAATGGCTAAGGAGGAAGAGCCAGGAGAGTGAAGCCACAATAATAGGAAGATAGAAAATGAAATTTTTGACATTTCGTCACGAAAAGTAGTGGCTGGAGAATGAATTCGGGAATCTCAAAGGCCTGAAGTTTACCCTCAACTTTGAGTTAATAATGTACTGACTTAAGACATTGACAAAAAATCCTGGCGCTTGTATTTGGGTCTCTGTGATATCTTCTATTTTTCTAAAGGACGATGTAGCACATCGTGTGTAGGTCATTTCTAGTCAATCATTTCACCTTCATAAATGACGCTGAAGATTCTAGAGGCGAGTTCGTTTTTGACACCCTGATTCCCCGCAAACCGATCATGAGCGACAGCAGTAGGGCGATTTTGAACCAAAATGTAGCCTAGCAGAGTATGCAAGAATCATAAGCAAATGTAACATTTGCACTGTACACAAAAGCAATGGAGGTGAAGGCTTAAGATACATCATTACCCTTCAAGAGTCATAGATCGATTACTCTAAAAAGATAAAAACAGATCATTCGCTCCTGCAACTAAAATGACACTAAATACCTGCACTGACATGCAGGTTTCAACTTACGTGCAAAGTCAGTTTTGGAGGCAATGGCGCATGAATTGCTCCGAAATCGAAGGCGTCCGGCTTCACCCAGAGAATGACAGATGACATACTGAAATCAAAAATCGGTTTCAAGTAAAAATTTCCATCAAATATGGGTCATGAGAGAATCTGAAGGGATTTCCTCTACACCTCTTGATATAAAAACATAGCAGTTCTGCCGCCATTTTCACACGAACCCATTGACCTCTGGGATAGTTTCAAGACCTGTTACCCGTGATACCAAGCGATTAAGGAAGCGTTTCCTTGACAGCGCAATCCGCCATCTTGGTTGGGAAGAGACCTTCCACGAAACGTAGTAACTGAATATTTGGAGTTGATATAGAAACGTTCAAAAATGACTGTCAACTTAGAGGAATATTTTAGAACTACATTTGAGGATAAAATCCTCGTGTAAGTGGAAAACTCATGATATATCAATCTTTGCAATGTAATGCACTGTTTGGATTGCAAGCAGGCAACAAGCAAAGTTTTCTCGTCTTATTTAGTGTCATGCTTCCTTCATTAGCAAAATGCCAGAACGCGAGGACGACCACCTCACTCCTGCCACAAGACTTCTTGAAAAGAGAAGAGAAATGTCGGAGGTTGAGCAAGCACTTGCTGCACAAAAAGAGGTCGGTGATGGTCGCTGATGTCAAATGATTTAAGCTTACTGCGTTAAACATAAAACAACACTGCTACAAGATTATTATCCCGACAAATAGAGGATTCAAATAGCTTGAACGAAGGGTAATTGATGATCGGGTACAGGATGTATAGATTAAAATAACATGATCAAAAACAACAATGATCATTAATCATTGAAAATCAATTAGATAGCACCAATTTTCATCGATTTTCTACTTGAAATTGAATATGGCACAAAATTTATACTGCAAGCTTAAACGGGTGACTGATGCTCAATCCCTCTGGAGTCTGTGGGAATGTGTGTCCAACACCTCTAAAAAATAGAGAACTACTTGAAAAAGCTAATGTGTATTCCAAGCCCAACTAAATATTCTCAGAAATAAGGGCCGGGAAATTCTTTTCTATTCTTTCTTTGTAACGCAGGTTATACCTACAGTCCACCGGTAGGTTAAGTACTGAAGTTTTCTTATTATTAATTGCGTACTTTATTTTGCTTTAATTTCCTTTTTGTTCCAATTCATTAGGAGTTTCAAATGAAAATGGAAAGCCTTCAACAAAGAAGAGAGGAGCTTGATAGAAAAGAATATCAGCTAAAAGAATCATTGCTGAAGTTTGACAAGTTTTTAAAGGTATATTGATAAATGCAGACAATGTATAGACAAAAGGCATCCTCGGAGACCCAGGGGCTGAGTCGATTTCAAGTTAGGGCATGAAGAGCCCCTGGGGACATTGTCTTACAAGACTAGTTCCAAACGGTCACAGTCGTTCTGCCATCTGATTGGTGCCAGAAAATCTTTGTGTTTTTCTGCCCAATCAGAGTGAAGTGTGCTTTAGAGTCCTTTCGTGTGTTTTAACACGGACATTTACTAGTAGCTCAGTTGCTCGCTATGTTTGTCTGGACCTTGCGACGGAGATTTGCTTGAGGTGAAAAGTTCAATCTCAGCACACAATGTAAGAGAAGTCGATCAGATTGTCCGCGAAAATCTTACCGGAAATTATGCTGAATACTTTCGCAGGTATCACTAGAGAACGTGTTTTAAAGTTTGCGAGGTTTGTATAAAACACGATGGTTGCAGTCATTGATATGTCGCTTTAAATGTTAAAGGAGATTTAAGCTTAAATCTTTCTAGATTTTTTGCATAATTTGCTGTGACTGAAACTTTGCCAATCCCATGAAGTTATTTCGTCCCACGGGCCACACAGGTATGTCGAGCAACTGGCGCATTCGCCTACGTAGCTTTCTGCTTTCTGTGCGCGCCAAAATCTAATCTTAGTAGTAAAGACCAAGGTTGCAGAGAACGTTGAGTTCGTGGACAACCTCCAGCAAGTGCTAAGAGAAAGCTTAGCTGTGTTTCCGGTTAGCTGATTAAAATCTGAACAAAAACTTATTAACGAGAACATCGCGGGAAGGAGAGATGTTTTCGGGCAGTTACGGAAGGGCTTTGGAAAGAGTTTATTCTTTCAACTGCTGCCTAGAGTGTTGAAATTCTTGAGCTAGGAAGGCCACGGATTCTCTTCTTGTCCCTTGGTCATTGTGATTTCACCTCTTCTGTCGATTGTTTAAGACCAAGTTAAGTTTGTTTAAGACCTTTGATCTTTGACCTTTTGATCGTTTAAGACCTTTGTTAAGATTGTTTAAGACCTTTGATCATTGGGAATCGATCCGATGCTGATTTCAATGGGAAAAACAAAACCAAAGACCAACTTAGTAGAACAGGATCATCTACCCACATCTAATAAGCAAAAGTTTCCACGCTCAGCTTTTCTTTTTTTTCAAGCGAAGATGAGATTACATTTTGGCACTCACGGAAAGTTGCGCAAGAACCAGTTGCTCGACATACCTGCGTGGCCCATGCGACGAAATAACTTCCCGGGATTGGCAAAGTTTCAGTCACAGCAAATTATGCAAAAAATCTAGAAAGATTTAAGCTTAAATCTCCTCTAACGTTTAAAGCGACATATCAATGACTGCAACCATCGTGTTGTGTACAAACCTCGCAAACTTTAAAACACGTTCTCTAGTGATACCTGCGAAAGTATTCTGTACAATTTCCGGTAAGATTTTCGCGGACATGATCGATTTCTCTTACATTGTGCCCTGAGACTGAAACTTTTCACCTCAAGCAAATCTCCGTCGCACAGTCCAAACAAACATAGCAAGCAACTGAGCTACTAGTATATGTCCGTGTTAGAACACACGAAAGGACTCTAAAGCACACTTCACTCTGATTGGGCAGAAAAACACAAAGATTTTCAGGCACCAATCAGATGGCAGAACGACTGCGACGGTTTGGAACTAGTCTTGTAAGACAATGTCCCCAGGGGCTCTTCATGCCCTAACTTGAAATCGACTCAGCCCCTGGGTCTCCAAGGATGGACAAAAGGTGGCATTGTTTTATTTTTTAAGAAGATGTTTGGATTCAGTTATATGGAAAGGCAAGGAAACAATATTTGTCTATACATATATGTGTATAGATGGTTGCTGTTCTGCTAGTAAGCAGTTTTAACAAATAGTACCTCAGAGAATGATCTTGGGACCCATCTTCTTCCTTTTATTTGGAAACAACATGCCTTTTAATTAATAATTGTGACTTAACACCACATCTTTATGCTGATGACACATTTTTATCAAAGAGCTCTTGTTAACAAAATGTTCCTCATCTGATGTAAGATCTCAGTCAAGATCTCAAACATTTAAAAGAGTGGTCAACACGAAACATTATCCATGTGGAAATATTTGCAGAATCATGTCATCTCCATCCCAATAAATGTCAGTTAGCAATGTGAATGGAAGTGTTACTGAATATGCCACTGATTTCAAACTTCTTGGTGTTGTAATATATCAGGACCTCACACTGAATTGCAGGGTTGAGGAATTATTTAAAAAGTTGGCCAAACATATTTCCAACCTGTTCAAGGCCTGCTCAAGGGCAACATCATTTGGACTTCATGCAGTAAAAAAAATTAACAATAAACTTCTGTGCCTTCAAAAACCAGCATCTAGAATTTATCCTCAAAGCTGAAAGAACAGTATCATCAGTTAGTCTGCACAACATTTTAAAGTGCATTGATATGTATGTGATTCTACACGAAAGGCAGTCCCTTTTATGTAGTATCACATATAAATCCATGCATTCTAATTTTTAGTAAGCCAAGTGAAAATACCCCTCAATACATTATGAACTTACTTACATGTATCAGAAACTCTGACAGACATGAAGATTTACTCACATTAGTAATCTTAATTTAATTTGCCCTTAATATAAATAAAGTACTGAATATGGTCAGATGATTTCTGTAAGAGCAATCAAAGAATTGAACTTGCATTTGTCATAAATGTGGACCTCAAATGGAGTTGTACTGCTAAAAATTAAAATCATACATTTTTTAAATCAGTTTTTAACGATAAAATTCTTATGCAGTCATTTGTGTAGTTTCAGTAATTTTTGTATCATTTTAAATCATCACATTTTATTATAAATATTTTTATCATTTGTGTCCATTTATTTTGAGTCATGACAGAGCATAATTAATCTTACCCTCATTAAATTAAGTTTACTTACTTGTTAAAGAAAATCATGAATGTGCAAGAAATTGTTTAGAACCAAAGAGTTACATTTTAGAGACAAAGCTGTTTGTATTTCAACCTTTTTGGATTGCTTCAGAGAAGGAAAACAGCATTTACTGTCATATATAGAAACTTATTTACTAAATGATTGACATGTATGTCAAAATTCAGGAAAATGATTCTAAGAGGGCAAGAGCGCTTAAAAAAGCGGCCGAAGAAAGAGAGATGAGAAGAGCAAAAGACAGGGAAATTGCCAGGTGCGATACTTAAAGTAAGGGTGACTCTAAAGGCTGTAAGACACTGGGCCAAACATACTGGTATTTAACATTTTTGAATGGCATACATGATTAAACATGAATAAACATGATTAAACATGATTAAATATTAGTACATGTGAGTGTAATCAACCATATCCCTCTTCATCATGAATTTGTACAGAAGTGTGAGAGTAAATTGGTTGTGCTTCAAAAAGTGTACAAGTGATCATGAATAGAGACTTGTTTGAGAAATCAAACTTTTCTTGCTACTGCATGGAAGCATTTCAGTCAAGGCAATATAAATTGCAGAATGTACAATTTTTTTGTTAATCATTCCCAATTATCTAAACATGCAAGCACAAAAGAAATGAGACTACTAGTCCCTTCCTAAAGTTACAGACTCCCTATGTACATGTGTTATGTATAAACAGCTATGTAACTGGATAAAAATGAATGCATCTTTTAGGTTAAAAGAGGAAACAGCTACTTTAATGAAAGAAAGGGATCATATACAATACAAGTTGGAGAGAAATGTCATTTATCAGCAATACCTGGAAAAGGTTTTGGAATCTGCAGAGGAGGTATTTTGACCAGCTATATATTATTAATTTTGCCTTGTTTTAGCTTTCTGTAAATAGCTGTTTAAGATAATTTGCTCATTTCTGCTGGATTTGTAGGGTATCCTTGACCACAAGCCACTAAGATTGTGATTGTCTTTCTTTACTTTGGTTTTTTGAGTCAATCAATTGCTGAGGAGGAAACTTAGGTTACTTGGCAAGAGAAACAACAATTCTTCATTCTAAACCATTGGCTTTGTCCTCTTTACTGATTTCTAATCCTGAAGATATTTTCAAATGAGTTGATTAGGTTTTATTTTTAAAAGGCTTGTATGGGCTGTATACAGACCTTTACTCAATTCTGAGGTGACTGTCTTCCAAACATAACTAATCCATAATTTTTATTTTAAACTAGCAGCTTACATCAGCTCAGCTGCTGATTTGAGTTTTCCTTACTTTCAGTTTCAGGAGATTCGGGAAGTTATTGCCAGGTACGATACGCTAACAGCGACCCATCAGGTAATTTTAAGACATTCATTTTACCACTGATCATTGATAACTTACATATATTCAATTGTCTAAAAGGTATGGAGCCATAAATTATTGGCTCAAGGGAAAAGCAGCCACATGTGGTTGGTTAGTAAAACATACTGGAAATTAAAATAATTTCTCAAATTCAGTTGAGATTTTAAGACATTAGCTAGATCAATGTCAGATATACAGGATTGATGAAGTAAAGGCCTTGATAATGATAAGAACCTCTTGCTTCTCCTTCAGAGAAGAATTCTCACTTTTAGCTGTACTTTATTTTTTGTCCTAAGGATCTTTTGGAAAGAGAAACAAAAAACCAGGAAAAGTATGAGAAAGAAAAAGGAAGACTGGTAAAATTTACAGAGGTAAATGTACCTTATGTCTCATTTTTTGTCAAGTTGTATTTTGAAGTTTTCTTTTTTCCTGTCCACTGTAGTTAATGGTCAAGACCTAACCAATTGAAAATGTTTTAATTGACAGGAAAAGAACAATGAGATATTAAACTACAACAACCAGGTAGGCAGTAAATTCTGGTTGCTATAATAGTTTATTATGTGTTTAGACACATGGCAACTTTGCACAATAACTTCCAGTTACAGAGTGTAGCAATCTAGCAGCTGAAGAGAAAGTTTACATTTCTGGTAGTCAGACCATTAACCAAGTTGTTTGGTTAACCAACGCAATCAAAATCCATTACACAGAGCCTTTGAATAGCTATTGGTCCTTTCATGGGTGATAGTCCTTGTGGCTTCAAAAGGGTCATGCAGGAAGCTTGAATCCACATTTGTCAACCTTAACTGCAGCTTTATATCCATAGGTTCTGTTAGCCAAGAGTTAATGCTACTTTGTCAATTCCACTATGGAGAACTTAACTACAATTAACACAGCTTTTCTTTCAATTTTCTATCAAATAACAGCTTGCACATTTACAGACGCAACTTGAGAGAGCCCAGAGTGTTGCAGTCAAATGGTGACTTTACTCATTTTTTCATGGATTTACTGTATTTACTTATCTTATTTCCCTAAATAAAGGTTGAGGTTTTGTAACTCTGCTAACTTGTCTTTTAGGGAATCTCAGTGGACACACATACAAAATACAGCAGCCAAGAAAACTCTGCTCTTAGGACGTATAAAAATGTATGTAGTGAATGCAGAATTTGTCGCGGAATTCATCTGTAATAGTCACAATCCAGAAGTAGTAATTCATAACTGTTTTGCTTGTTTTTCTTTCATCCCAGGGCAACCCACAACTTGTTCATGTTAGTGAACAGACACCTAAAACAGAATACCGTCATAGAGCATACTGAAAAACAACTAGAAAAGGTAATGTCATTAAAGCGTTTAAATCAGGAGGAAAACAGGAATGATTACTTGATTACACTATAAAATCACAGGAAAGGGGTGATGATGGGCAACATTAAAGAAGATTGACACACCGAGAAAGATTAAGCTTATTTTTCGAAGACGGATGAACTTTGAATGGCTAGGTAAAAAAACAGAGAACTCTTTTTTTAAGAACCAAGGTACTCTTACCAGGTCGAATGCGAGCCCTTCCTTCTACTCGGGATTTACTATTATCAAGAAGTTGAGAAATGTTCACTAACATTTCTCAACTTGTTGATGAAAAGTGATTTCTAAACCTTTCGATAGTAATCTGATCAGTTTATGACGCATCTTCCTTGTTATTAGATCCAAGTATTTATTCAAGACCTGACTCAAATCACCAGTGAAATCAAACGGGCAGAGACAGCTCCAACTAATGCCACGTCCGCCATGAGTTAAAAGATGGAACTATTTGATTAGAGGGAGAATTGAAGATGTAAAGGATGTATGAAGGACTGATTGATGCTTATCTCTCAGTGTGTATATAACTGTATAAATTGGAATAAATTCACTGCTCAGAGGCCTATCAATGTCTATTTTAAATCCTAATTTAATTTTCCGAATTACCTCTGACTCGCACAACCATACTCATAAACTCCTCTTATTAACCTTTTTTCATTTCCTCTCCTTTAAAATTTTTGTAAAACCTTTAAGTTGGTCAGTCACTTTCCTTTAAAACTGACAAGTCATTGGTTTTTTCCTGCTCTTTTACACTAAAGTAAAAATATTAACCTCTTACTAACCGAGCAGGAAGGCCGCACCGAGGAATATTGGCCTGTGGTCGTGCGCTCGGTCCTTACAAAAACGAACGGGGGTCAATATTGCCCAAAACGGCTCGAGCAAGCGCGGTTAGTAAGTAGTTTGATATGGCCCTCGGACCAAACTTGTTTAGGTGAATTTGCTGGCTTTAGCGAACCAAAACACACGACGTATGGCCATTTCTGTGTGAACGGTCCGTATGGCAAACTACCGATCAAGTAAGCAATCAGAACGCTTGAATTGCATTTACAGCAGATTTTTATTCAAAATTTGGTGGTTTTACGTGGTTAGTGTGACCTGAGCCGACTTATCAGATTAGAGACGGTGCACACGCCTTGTTGTAGGAAGCGTAGTAGATTTGAAATCGTGGTTGGGTTCTTCATTGGCTTTTAATCCTTTCGTCTTTGTAATCTTTCGCACAAATGAGGGTGGATATCCGTAAGAAACAAGAACTGATGATAGATATTTCTTCCCTTGAGATGATGGTGGTTTTGTTAGGAGGTGTTTGGTCTACTCAACAATACCCCGTTTAACTAACTGAGGGTGGCGTCATATGCTAAGTATTGGTCAGTGGGTAAATGCCTGTGTGTTTCACTGAATTAAATCTTCCTTTATGATTAAATCACCATTCTTAAAATTGACCATCTTCATTTACATCATCATTGCGCATAGGCATCAATTATCGGCATTGCTATCTATCCTCTCGGTATGCAGGAGGTTTGTCACCATGGGGAGGAGCACCGCTACGAGTAGTTGGAAGGTCGCACTTTTCACTCCTGTTGGGAGTACACGGAGTTTCTTTTTCTCCATGACTGTCAGTAGATGCTTAGTTTCGAAAATGTAAAGACTTTTGACTCCCGTTGGGAGAACACGGAGATTCTTTTTCTCCATCAATGTCAGTACATGCTTAGTTTCGAAAATGTAAATACTTTTGACTCCTCTTGGGAGTACATGGAGTTTCTTTTTCTCCATGACTGTCAGTAGATGCTTAGTTTCGAAAATGTAAATACTTTTGACTCCTGTTGGGAGTACACGGAGTTTCTTTTTCTCCATCACTGTCGGTAGATGCTTAGTTTCGAAAATGTAAATAGTTTTGACTCCTGTTGGGAGTACACGGAGTTTCTTTTTCTCCATCACTGTCGGTAGATGCTTAGTTTCGAAAATGTAAATACTTTTGTTATTTCACGTAGTCCTATAATTTGGAAAAACGAGCACAATATCTGCTGTTTTTACGAAAGTAGTAGCATGTCTTCAATTTTTCATTGTCTTGTCAGGGGAAGTGTGTTACCGCCATACTGTGTCGTTCGTCTCTTTAAAAAGCACTGTACACACCGAAAGTAAAGCGGATTGCGTCTGTCTCAGTTCTTACATTCACAGGCAACAGAATGGCGTCGAAGAGAAACGTGATGTTAACTTCTTCTATTTTGACAGATTAAGTCACCGCTTCTGGTGTGGAATTAAGTGTAGTAGTTAACTGTGTTTTACCAGAGCAAGTACGTAACTCAAAATAAGGAAGATTTCATGCTTTATGAGCAATAAATATATAATCTAGACTAGCCTTTTGTTCCTTTTTTGAAATATATTCTTTAAGAAAAAGAGGCACAATTTTCAAAAACGAGCACAGTTCTGAGCAAAACTTGGAAAAGAAATTGAGCAATGCTAGAAGCATAATATGCTACTTTTGCTAGCACAATCTAGAAGGGCATACTTGCACGTTACTTAAGTAAACAAAAACAACGCACAGAATCAAACGTTTTGTCCCCTATAACACTATAAACATTACCTTGAGATCATTATAAGGAATGCAAGTACCAATTTATCTTGCAGCTTATTGAGATTGTTCTAAAGTAGGGAGCAGTTACATTAGTTTTATCAAAAAAGCTCATGCGCATGACGTCCCAACGTGACAGTCTTATTTTTGGAATGAACGAATATTGCAAAGAACAAGTATATCAACAACTATCAGGTCAATTTCGGCGTACGAAAGCGATTTTATTAAAAACAAAACCAAAATGGCACAAGGAGTCTTTGGTACAAGGTGAAGACTGCAGTGCAAATCAAGCAATCTTACCGGATGAGGATACCTTCCAAGGATTCTCGAAAGCCGTGATCAAGGATTCAAAGTAAGGATCGCAAAGAATAAGTAGAAAGCCCTCATCATCAGGGCTTTCTTCTATTGGGCGTGAGTACGCTCTAAACACGTGAAACATCCAAAAGACAACTTATGAAAAATTGAAATGCCACTGCGAAGAAAAGCAGACTGATGAATCCATATTGAAATAGGGCTAAGCTCATGTTGACTTTAAATGGCTGTTAACTTGTTAGCGATAATTAATAATTCGTTGCTGTGTTAACTCAGTAAGTATATGCTCTTGCAATTAAGGAATATTAATGTGTTGTTGAGGTCACTCCTCACTTCTCTTTTGGAAATATATCGTAACATTAGAAATGTGCCAGGTTTTTTTTTTTTCTATGATTCCAACGGTAATAACTATTAAGTCAGCACGATAAATTAGAATGAGGAAAAGAATAAGGATTCTCCGCCAAAAGGGTTGAAGGCTGATTATTTTTACAGCTAATAATAAATGAAGTGACTTCGTGTGTTGACTGTTTTATTGATAAATTACCTTTTGTCACTTTTCTCTTACGAAAGGAACATGTAACGCGCTTTTAGCTGCCATATATTATCGAAAACATAGGCTACTTCAAAAGAAACCATAGGAAACTGTATCGTCCAGTAAAGCTTGTAAGGCATAGATTCTGAAAATAACAAAAATATTGACAGTATTTGCCTTGGTAGGCACGCACAAGCCCTTAATGACAATACCTTAATTTTAATTTGGACAACCTGGGCTGAGGTAAAAAGGATTCAGTCCATACATTGTGAGCCACGTAGCAAAAAAACTTGAAATGAAGCTGGAGAGGTTAAATTTTGCCAAGGTGAGATGGACTATATGAGCCAGACGGTTTGGGGGTAATATGTGTCTCTCCAATGTCATTTAAAGAAAACAGGCAGTAGTATTTCCATTAGCAAGGACAGAGAGTGCCAATGGCCGCACAGCACTGTTCCTTCGTGAACAGGGCCAAGGCATACATTGAAGGCACTGGTCACTAAGGATAAAGAACTGCAGTGGTCCGAAGAGCTACTTGGCAGCCAGTCACTGAATATATAGCGACAACGTGGTTTCTTTTGACACGGCATTTTGGAATGTGAGGCCGCCAGGAACACCACGGCATGTTTGTAGAAGATCGCTCATTATAAAGGGGCCGATATATTTAATGATTATCTATAAATCTAGTTCTACTCTTCCTATCTCTTTTCATATTATAGGTTCTTAGATTGTGTATGTGGCTTCTGTGATTTTTTTTTCCGCAGGACCCATGTTGATAACAGTTTTTTTATAACTGAATTGGTCATCCTGCATAAATATGTTATTATTATTATTATTATTATTATTATTATTATCATTTAGTAAAGACGACAATGGTGCAGAGTCGGTCACATACGAAGAAAACCCCACAAAAACTGGCTGGGGCGGACTTTGCAAGAAGCGAAGAGTTTCAGCCGAAAATGTTTGCAACTGATTGACCAAAATGTCCAGTAAAGCTTCTTTCACTTGAAAATGTATCCCTTTCCTCTACTGTAGCAAACACCGTGATGATGAATGAAGACGGTAGATGAAAACAATAAACAACTTCCATGGCTGTTAAGTAACCGAGCTTACCCGAAAGCATGCCAGGCTGACGAGTAACTTTTAAACTTTAACAGATTAGTCAGCAGACAACTTACCATGATTCACGAAGCGCCTGTTCAAAACTTCCACAGAGATTTCCAGACATTTAAGTACTGTTGTATGATGTTTGAGTTATCACATATTTAATCACATGTTGGAGCCATATATTTGTGCGTTACTAAATAAATCTGTGTATTACACCTTTTGCTGATCATTTAGGCGAAAAATATATTCATTTTCGCGAGGTGTAGAATCAATAAGGCGAATATACATTCTATAACACCAAGAAGCACTTCATTAACCCCACGGAACATTCAAGAACGCAATTTGCATGTTTATAAACAATCAATAGTGTCAACGAACAAACAAGAGCATCTATTGACAATCAAGGACGCCAAGTGGACATTTAAACGCGCGCAATCGACAATCAAAAAAAGCAAAAGAAAATCAATAACATCTTCGGACAATCATACGTGAAAAAGGAACATTCAATAAGACAATTAGCATAGAGAGGCGCAATCAATAGCGTCAAGAGACAATTATTCATTGCAAAGTAACATTCCATCCCGCGATTCGAACAATCATTTGAATGATGAGTATGTTCAATAGGAAGAAAAAAGTGTTCATTAGTGAGTTCACGACCAGTTGTCAAAAAATAACAAACAATGGCCAATAGGTAAGAAAGTACATGTACAATACGTGTACATGTAGGTTATCATTTAAATTTGATGTTGCTCAATCTTTTCCTGAGACAGCTATAAAAGGAGGAATATCTTTGAAGGTAATGCTGTCCGCGAAATACAGGTACATGTACAGTACAGTACTGTACAGTACA